TGTTTGCCATGTAATCTGCAGGTTCTGGGTCCGATTATTGGTGGGTTCATAAGTGCATCATAGTTATGGGAAAATTGTCGTAAAACGTATATTTTTTTTGATTAATGGTTGATTCTACACTACTTTTGGTACGAGTATGGAATTTTCAGCATGTGATATCAGAAGCCCAAACTTTTGCAGACCGACCATTGATATCAGGTATACGTCGGCAGGGGATAGAGCCCTGGGTCATGGGCATAGTCAGCGAGAGGCCTAACCGCTGTGCCACCGACGCGGTTTTATTCCTAGAAAACTGAAAGTGTTTAAAGAGTTTTTTGAATAATTAGAATAATTGATAGAATGTACGCAGCATTTTAGGTTTCTTTGATATTTTTCATAAAATTATTAAGCAATTTAAGGCTAGATGGTATGTTTTCATAACCATTTTGTCGACCTTCAGATGTTAAGAATTATTAAACTCTTATTGGATACTCTCGATACCAGTTAGCGGAAACCATATGATGTTACTAAATAAATGGGAGGGGGAGGGGGGGGGCTAGCAGATCCAACATTGCATCCTAATTGGTACTCACGAGGTGGACATACGTCAAGAGGAAGAATAGAGATATGAATTGGTTTTATTTTATCAGTACTCTCGATTACGCATAGTTCACATTGTTTATTACACTTTATTATGCATAACAGATTGTTAACATACTTCACTTTGTATGACAGAAACCGACAGTAACAAAGTGTATATAAGAAGTTGTTCAATCTTGGGTCATGTGAATACATTTCATGATGATGTTAGTAGTATATATATATAACGTTCCAGAAACAAATTTCTCATAATACAGAATTTATTGAGAATAGTAACTTAAATTACATGTAAAAAGTTGTGTAGACAAGTAGATGACTTTATACTGATCGGAAATGAATTTATCGGGGCAACTGAATTGTTAATAATGAATTCCTTTTGAATACAGGTAGATTGGGCTTCTCATATGCGGCTGCGAAAACTCCAGAGTAAGGAAAAAGATCAGTGCTCTTTTGTTTAATAATCATTATAAATGACTCTGAAGAATTTATTTGAAATCCGGTGTCTATCATGCGCTTAGAAACTGAGACTAATTAATTGGTCAGGTAGATCGAGGACTCATCGGCACATATTCAGGAAATCATGTAGAAACCCTTCCTTATGTTCCCTCAGTCTAGCTGCCACCGCAATGTGGTTGTATTCTTTTAACTGGATGGCTAAAATGCTGAACTTTAACGGTCATTCTACACATTCTACAAAATAAGACATTTTTTGAATTCTTTGTGGATTTTATAATTATCTGTCGTAATGTCTTTGATTGTGATTGGCTGTCTTGAGAAGTTTTTCTATCCCTCCGTCAATTTGTATTAATCTCGATTCTTTTTAGTTGACCTAGTATTTGATCTTTTTGCCATGTGGTCCGTTAATTATTGAGTGGTAGACTTTACCTGTGTCAATACGTCTGTTGACAAAAGATCGATTTGAGTACTACACTTCTACTACACTTCTTCTTTGTGTAGTATAACAATACACCGGATACCATCAGTCATTTTGCACTTTTGATAATCTTTAGAAACCATTTGGAACCCGAAAGGGGAAACGACGAATGGGGTACCACGGAAGAAAATGTCAGGAGGAAGAGAACGCTATCAGGTAGTCTTGGAGCCAGCTAAAAATTACGGGAGAGAATGAAGTGGAATAGAGGAGTGCTGCTGAGGCCTTAGACACTACTTAGAACTCAAGCAATGAGCAATAATTATAACAATGTCAGGAATTGGCAGAAGTAGCAATTTATAGTCCATTGAGTTCTGACTAGCCTAGTAAATGTATTACACATGTATTCAACTAGTAACCTGAAAGGACTTGGCTTCAACTTTCTGTTGAGTTGTGGTTTCCATACTGCTGATGAGTTATCAGCAGGGACGAAAAATCTGTAGGAAGTTTTCTAGTCTTCAGTATATCTTGAACAAGTGGAATTTCATGACAAAATTATTCGAATCACCCAGCGAATTCAACATATAAATTATGAAATAATGTGTATGTTTGTGTAAATTAGAAATTAAACATATTCATCTTGATCTAAGTGAACAGTTTCAGTGAATATAGAGTGATCAGGTATTCATTCGTATATGCCTAGTATATCTCATTTTTAAAATAAAAAATATGTAAACAATGAAGTGTTTACGTAAATTCTCAAATTTATGGACTTGTAAATAATGTCTTAATTACGTAACTACTGTACTACATGACTTTTTTTTGAAGAAAAATACTTTGTGAATATTCACCTATAAGTTTATCATATTATTGTTATTTAGAATCTCAGTTTTGTAAAGATTATGATTCATATTAGTGTGGATATTGTCATCAAGTGATATCATTGAGAGAATCAACGAAAACTAAGAAGTAGTTGACAGACGTTTTGTCCTAGCTGTAGACTTCGATGCAGCGAGTACCCAGAACCCTGTCGATGAACAAGAACTTCACGAGTAATTATCAGTAGTTGCATTCCAAGCCGGTGTCTCAATGGTTAACAAACTTGCTACGTAGTCTGAAAGTCTTGGATTCAACAGCTGGAAAAGTGTGGCTTCTTGAGTAACTAGTACTGAAGAGTCCTAAACTAGGACGAAACAGCTATTCAGTACTCCTTAGTTTTCAGTGATTCTTTCAAAATTATTAGTTTGCTGCGAAACCTGTATAGAAATTGTAAGAATATGACTGTCAATACTACAAGTTAATGCAGAACATTTATTGTTCGGAAAGGTGGTTAGATGTTAACATATTTTGTAGGTAATATAATTTCATTGTTAAGCTTTCACTATCACGTATGATAAGAAACATAAAGATTAGTCCTTATAAATATCAGCAGTTCTTTATTATAAATGAATCACTGTTAGATATATTAAGATCTCTAATATGGGAAATGAACTCTTTGAAAGATTGCACTTGACATTTAAAATACCGGTATTTGATCGTGAACATTTTATCATCAGGTTTGGTGATATCTTCATCATTTCAGTGAAACACTGCATTTTGATCAGTTGATGATTGTCACTAGATGTACAGTGGAGTATTTCCAGTTGTATATTGACTAATAATCGCATCCACTTGTATACATATATTTCCTCAAAAATATACAGCTAATATAGTTGATACTGAAACATTAATTCAACCTTAAATTAATAAAGAAACCTTCCACAAAATACCTGTAGCTTCCTCATCTTTTGTAACTCCTTCTGTTACTCCTTATATGTGTACAGTGACACTCAGTAGGACATGGACAGGTATGTGAGATGATACCAATGACTTAGAGATTTGGAGTTTAAGCTTGAAGTGTTAAGTAAGGAAGACAAATTTTCCACTAAGGTGGTGAATCTTAACAAAGATTTCTGGGACATGTGTAATGCATGTGTATCCATCGTCCTCAACAATCACCAGTGCTAACTGTAGATCCATTAGATTGGGAATACTTGTAAGTGGTTAGATTCAAGTATAAGGGCAATCTCCGAAGTCAGCAACTATAATACAGCCGTGTAAATTATCTGGATGTGGTTCATGAGCTAATAGAGATCAATCAGTGGACGATCTTGAGGAGAGTTTAAAAAAATATTGTCAAGAGAACAAATGTAATCATCGTCTATAACATTCCTAACTCTAAACATATTCACTAACTAGTTACAAGATTTCATCATGACCTGATATTGGTTAGAGGACTATTGGAAAATCAATTGGGAGTTCTGGACCGTTGTTTTGTCCCAGTTTTGGACTCTTCATCTGTACGTATCTACCGAAATTCGAAACCAGGACCTTCTGGTTACAAGGCCAGCGAGCTCGTAGACCATTAAGCAACTGGGATCCGATCCAATGGCCCATGAATTTTAACTTCTGCCAATTCACGATATAACGCAACCGCTAGCCAATGTCCTCGGCGAGTATTTGTCCTCACACCCGACCTGCTGCACCCTACTCGTCCTGGGTTTAAACCCCGGTGGTTGCATACTGTGAAGAGTCCAAAACTAGGACGAAGCGGCTGTTCAGTACTCCTAGGCCTTCAATGGTTCTCTAACCAATGTCAGCCCATGATGAAATCCTGTAACCAATCAACCGAATCCCTACAAACCAATACTTGAATATTTACTAATTTTCAGTAAATTAATCTATCCATTTCTCTCCTGTCATACTGATATTCTTCAGATGTAAATACAGCCATTTTATTATGCTGTTTCGAAATTAATTACTGTTATTTATTCTTTAGGTTCCGAATGTAACACATCTCTATTTCACTACGTTCTCTCCCATGACTTTTAACTGCCTCCAAAGCTGTCTGATGGCGTTCACTTCCTCCTGAAATGTAGACTTTGGAAGATCAACTCGTCGCTTCCCATTCGTGTCCAACTGGATCGTCTGTCTGACATGTGATGTCACTTGAATGTCTTCTCAGCGTGTAACTAATTCATCCATATTTTATTCTCTGTATTTGTTGGGCAATAAGTTGTGTATTGGTTCACCAGAGTTTCTTGTCGCTTCCCAACCCTCTGATAATCAGTATGGAGACAATGAAGACAAGTTTTATTTGATGAAAATCTACAGTTTATTGCGAATATTTTCGATGACGCGCATGCCAAGTTTCTTAACTGATAACAGAGTAATGGACACCTATATTCTGCTTTCAAATTCTGACTGTCGCTTGTGATTGAAACTAAGCTATTATGGTAAGTGAAAGATTTGACTTCCTTTAGGTTTCTGTTGTTGTTGTTCCATGTTAGATAAGTTTATTTTAAATATCACACAGTGATGCAGTATTAACAACTGGATGGTGTTTCGAGCTTAAATCATTTTTTTTTAAATATAAGATAATAGCTTTATTCCAAAACAGTACTTGTGATACAGAATGGAATTCTCAGCATTTTTACTACAATATTGCATCCAGTTAGTACATTAACAATAAATAAAATTCTACATACATAACGATGCCCAACGACCAGTGATTATGATTGGTGCTGGCAGTGGAGTAGCACCGTTTATCAGCTTTATAAGACAACGTAAACGTGACTGCCATGAGACGGGATCATCAACCAATAACTTATGGTTAATCTATGGATGTCGTTCTCCAACAACCAGCCTTCTATTCAAAGAAGAATTATCCGACGCTGTCAATGCCAAATTGTTAAGCCATTTATGCCTATGTTTCTCTAGAGATACTGTTAATTCACCAGATGACAAATATACTCTTGCTGACTTGCCATCAGTATTACGCGAACAAGCTTGTTTCCCCTTGAAATCACATTATGTTCAAGAGTGTATCTACCACTCTGACTCGTCTGAGAATACTCCATCTGGACATGCTATTGAATTAATGCAGCTTGTTTATGATCACAGCGCAAAGATAATGGTTTGTGGTGATGCACGTGGTTTAGCGCCAGGTGTTTTCCAAGCTTGGATTAAGTTATTAGCTATGAAACTTCATTGGGTACAAACAAATACTTGGTGTACATATGCTGAGTTATCTAGTGAAGAATTGAAAAACGCTCAGGTGTATCTGCAAGAAATGCGTAAATTTAAACGCTATCAAGAAGATATTTGGTTGTAAATGCTGGTGGTTACTTTGTTGCTCTGTACAAATGAAAGCATAATAATAATAATAATAATTTTTTATAGATTGCTTCAATTTGTGCATATTTTTTCAATTTTCTAATGAGCCTCTCGCTATATACATCAAAAAGCTGGAGCTGTGTGTTCCAAAGAAACTAGTCCAGCCTTTACAACTATCATGGACCTAGTCCGGTATATCCCCTTATCCTTCAGCTGTTGTTTTGTTTTTGTTTTGTTCTCTGTGTGCGTAATTTTCTCTCCTTGTCTTCATTCAATTCATCCCATCTCTTTTTTCAGTTATAAAATCCGTTATTTTAAGTTTGTTTCCATGCTCCTCTTCCTGACCACACTTGTAATTTGTTTAGAATAACCATTTTACAATTATATTCTAATCCTGTGTACTTTTTTTGTTTCTATGCCTCTTGTAATCTATCTATATTCACACCTCCTAACTTACATTTCAAGTGGAAAATTTTTATTTCGATTTGTTTCCATGCTCATTTTGTAATTCGTCCTATCCCTGTGTAAGTTTTTGTCTCTAAGCTTCTTGTAATTCATATCAAGTTGAAAATAATTGTCACCTTTTATTCGCCTTTACAATTATTTCTCCAGTGCGTCGGTGGCACAGTGGTTAGGACTTTCGCCGACCATGCACATGGTCCGGGGTTCAAGCCCACGCCGGCGCACATCTGATATCTATGGTCGGCCTGCGAAATTTGGGCTACCGATATCCATGCTGAAAATTCCATACTTGTACCAAAAATACAGTGTGGAATCAAGCTGTAAATCAAAAATAAAAAGTAATCTCAGTCATTTTAGACAACAACATATTAGCATGTCGGTAGCAAAGCCAAAATTTAAACAGAGTGTTTGAAGTTGTTAGAAAAGTAGATACTACTAGCATATTTACTGGCGTAAGCGATAGCAAAATGGTCGAGATATACAGAGTGTGAAAGAACGAAGAAGAATGTTTTAAGTAGAGTTTGTGAGGAAGAGAGAAACAAAACGGCACATAACAAAAATAAATACAGAAAGAGAAAAAAAAGGTAGAGAGAAAACGTTGTACCTGTAAATGATGTGAGTTGGAAAGACGAGATCCATTTGTTCTACTGACTATTTAATAAGTTAAAGGTTTCATGCCTAATGCTTTCTTTATCGCACAGAACACGAGCTAGGTAGGGTATGGATGAGTTTTTGTACTTACTAGTGCGGGCATATAGTTTCCTATATAGGCTTCTGGTTTTCCCTGAAGAGATACATGGGGAGAGTTGTGAATGTAGAGGGTGTTGTGAGTCAGATAAAATGGATTTCGCCCATTTTTCACATGAGTCCATAGGCCTGTCCACCAGAATATTAAAAAGCTGGCTAAGTGGCACGTTGCTTACCCTGCTGACAACCTTTAACATCCTACGTAATAAGGTATAGTCTTTCTTCAATAGCCCAGGAAAGACTAAGGGGGAACAATAGAGAATAATAGGCAGAATACGGGAGTTAACAAATTGTAGGAGTAAGGGTTGGGTTACACCAGAATGTCTTAACTTCTTGATGTAGAAGGTAAGACGGAATATTTTCTTGGAAATCGTCAAGATATGAGACGACCAGGAAAGATCAGAAGATAGAGTGACGCCTAGGTATTTAATTTCCGACTTGGTTTCAATTTCAGTGCCATCTATGTTGCACACCTCGTGAGTGCTAACCAGTTTGTTTAGGTCAGATTTGTGCCTAAAGGTGAAATTAACTGTTTGGCATTTGGAGGGGTTTAAGGTGAGACCGTTTTCCTTGGACCATTGGCTGATTTCTGATAAGAAGCCATTTAGTTTAGAGCAGTCACTTTGACATTTGACAGGTAAAGATACAGTTAGGTCATCAGCAGATTTGAAGATGGTAGGTCATGTAGGAAGAAGGAAAAGAGAAGTGGGGAGAGTACAGCACCTTGGGGGACACCAGCTTCAGTGAGCACAGCAGAGGAGGATTCGCCTTTGTATACGGTGTACTGCATTCTGTTTGAAAAGTAGGAATGCAACCAGTTAGTGACCCAGGACTCGGTTTGTGTCATGGAGAGCTTATTTAGCAAGAGACATCTAGGTACAGAGTCGAAAGCAGAAGTGAAGTCAAGAAACGTGCAGCGGACATATTTGGCACCTTTGTCTAATGATGAGACAATACTGTTGTGTAAGACGGCTGCAGCGTCTAAAGTACTCCTACCCTGTCTGTAGGCAAATTGTTTGGGGTCTTCGAAGCTTTTAAGGGAGGGTTCGAGTTTAAGAAGTACTAGTTTTTCCATGAGCTTTAGAAACGGGGAAGTGATGGCAATGGGTCTGAACTTTACGTTCTTGCTATTGCCAGGTTTAGGGACAGGGACTATTTTAATGTCTTTCCATGGAACAGGTACAACGTTTTCGGAGAAAGAAGCATTTAGGATATTAGTTAGAGGAGAGCATAAAGCATCTGCACATTGTTTTAGAACATATGCAGGTATGCCATCAGGGCCAAGACTATGTGAGGGCTTAAGAGTTTTAAGACATTTTAAAACATCAAGAGTGTTTAAGTCCTGGAAGTTATCAGCTACAAGATTAGTAACGTTAGAAGTGGTTATAGTAGAAGGAGAGCGTATAAAAGACAGATTAAGAGCATTAACATCACAAGAGGGAAAAACATTACATCGCTTACTATTGCCAGTAATTTCATTGAAAAATTTCCACATGCTGATAGGAGATTTGCATGATAAAAGTGTTTGGTTATAGATAGCATTAAGATTTTTGATTTCAGATTTGATTTGAGCATTAATCTTTTTAAGTCCTAACTTGTCTTTGCATTTATATAACATTTCTTTTTGCCTGCGAAGTTGTTTGAGATGGGGAGACGAGAAGCGGTCGAGGCGTTTGAACAGTGTTTGTTTGGGACAGCATATGTCGAGGCAGAACTTAAGATAATCCATTATATTGGTGATTGAGTCATCTAATGTACTTTCATAGAATAAGTCCCAGTTAGTATCTTTTAACATGCATCTTAGATTGAGTAGGTTGTCAGATGTGTAGCATCTTTGTTGTGCTTTCTTAGACAGGTGTGAGAAGACTTTGATATGTGTTTTGCTGTATATTTGCTCATAATTATATCAATTTAGACAAAAGTTTTAACAATTTGTCTTATATATATATATCCTGTTTTTCTATCTCTCCAACTTCTCTTTACTGTTCTTTGCCACTTTCTATATCTCCGGTGTAGGTATTACGTCGTCGTGATTTGAAGTGTGCGGTGGGCTGATTCGATAAACAAAGTTTCAGTAATTAATCTCTCTCTACCTAACTATATTAATCTTTAATACTCTCACCCTGTCCCATCCAATTTCATAACTACATGTAAGTGAATGCATTGCAATGGCCGAGCTATTTTCTAGGTTATATAACTTAGCAGGCTCAGTCATTTTAGGTCTAGTTGAATTTTTATGTTCCAGTAATATAACTGACCTCGATCTACTAGCCTGACGTATGCAACTGACCTCATAGTCATTACATTGTATTTGGTAAATGAGGTTATTTTTCTTAAATGGATCTATTGGGTCCTTTAGCTGACAAAGTTTGTCTTTGAGAGAATTGGTTGGTTCAAATGTCATCCTAATTCTGGCCTCATTGAGAATGCTACGCAGGATCGCTGATGCTCCTTCTTTATACGGCAGTACTACAGAAACTTTGAATTTTATAATATTTTCGTTTTTCTTTATCATTTATATTGCTAATCTTATTTTTTCTATGGTTCTTCATATTATCTTTGAATAAATGCTGGTGGGTGGTTATTCACTAGTAATACTTTCTTTATTTGTTTGGTTTCACTAGTTAAATCGTCTGGCTAACTAGTTAGGCTGTTGGCCCGATTGTACAGATATTTGACTAAACCCATCTTTATCGATTCTGGCTGGGATGAATTAAAGTCTAAGGATTTAGTAAAGTGTGTCAGTTTCTTAAAGATGCTGGTATCTAATCCACCATTTCGTTTTCGTCTTATTTAATAGTCTTGCATGGTCAACTCACACTGTTCGTTTTCTGACTCCTCAGAAGTGAATTGGATTCCGTCTACTGCTAAGTTTATATATGTGTAAAACTGTGTTCAGATTTTGACACAGTAAACGTGTCATTCACATATCTACACCATAACCTAGGAGGGGGAGGATTAATCTTACTTAGAACTTTTTATTCCCAACTATCCATAAATATTCTTGAAAACATTTATTTCCCGATACGAATTTAAAACAAGCAATAAAGGTTAATAAAGCAGGATTTAATGAATTCATCAAATTTTCGTAGAACTCGTCAGCTGAATACTCTACATACACGGATATATATACTTTTGAAATTACATTGGGGGATATAAGACTGATAAATAAACTACGTTGAATTAGTCATGCAGAAAGACACGTGCGAATGTTTTACAGGTCATGTTCAAATGGATAAGGCGAGAGAGAGTATGAGAGATCAAAATTAAGATAAATTCCATTACGCTTCAATTACATCACTTAGATAAACAGTTAGTCATTAGGGAATATAACGAGAATTGTAAACAGACTAATATCAATAGTTATAATAACAATTTTAATAGTGTTGAAGTGAGTTAAGATAATCTTACGGATAAAGCATAGTTTTAAATAAATCAAGAAAAAAAATAATGATAATAATAATAAGAGGTAGAATAGTAGTAATAACAAGTTAAGAATAATAAGTAAAACGTATTACCATGGTAGATTCAGAGTGACGACCATCTCCATTTGTATACAGAGAGCTGGTTTGTAAATTCGAATTGCACAAGCCTCTGCAATTGCAAGCATCTTCTTGTTTCTTTGTTTACTGACAATGGTGAATGACTTGACCTCGTCGATATCATGTCCGTAATCCACAAGATGTTTTGTTATTGAGGATTTTGGCACTTTACACTCAGCTGTTTTCAACCATTTTGGCAAATGCTCCATCATGCGAGTAGATAATCGCCTTTCCGTACGACCTATGTATTTGCTGCCACAAACACACTCAAATTGATATATGCAGTTTGAAGTGTCGAGGATTGGCGACTGGTCTTTCCCAGATTGTTGAAGCACTCGCTTGGTGGTGTTAAGGATAACAAGTTTTGCAGCATAATAAGTTCTCTTGATGGCTTTGTCGAGTCTTCGTTTCACTACTTCCTGTACGTCATCTCCTTTGAATGGCAAATTGATATAGACAGGTTTCTTTGGAACTGTTTGAATTGTTTTGCAAGGGGTAGTTTCTTAAGAGTATTTATTAATGAACTTTTCAGGATATCCATCCTTACATAAAATATCCTTCAGAGATTTTATTTCATGTTAAATAGTACTGTCAGAACAAATTTTTCGTGCTCTATTGAACAGTGTTCTGACTAGGTTCTTTTTGTACTGGATTGGAACAAAGCTCTTGAAATGCA